ATTCTCTCCATCAGACTCACCCTCACCCTTACCCTCACCATCAACACCACCCTCACAATCATCCTCTCCATCACACTCACCATCACCCCTATTTTATATGCATCGCCCAAATGTCTCTATTCAGACCATCGATCAGCTTTTTCCAGCATCACCATCACCCTACAGAATGAAGAATCCAAAACTGATTTTTATTTTATGTAAAAGTAGCGACGTACCAATTTTGTCTTTAGAAATATCCAGTAACGTGGTAGTACGGATGCCACTGGCAAAACTAAAAATAATGTTTTTCATTACAAAACGTGCTCTCTCGATGGTAATTAACGTATAACACGCCGTTTTTCCTAATCTAAGCATTTTTCCAATATAGTTTATATATCAAACTCATATTATTTTTTGAAACTCTATCAGTGCCCGAAGTTTCCGCATCGGAAACTTCTGTATAAATATGGAGGCAACTGCTTTCTTTGCTTGTTTGTGTAATATATGGTGAAATTTTCTTATTCCATTCTTCCATTCTTATTTCTGGCTCCGTATGATATCTCGAGTCCTCTACTATATACTGTTCCACGATTTTTGCACAAGCGACAGCTAGTAAATACGGGGGAAAGAGCCAATCACTACTGACATCCGTTCTTCCGTTGTTTTGTCCAATCTAAACGTAAAATGAAAGCTAACCTAACGTATAAAATATCAAACCTAACGTAATATGTGGGCTAACCTAATGTAAAAATAATAAATAATTAGGTTAGCTTTCATTTTTTAGGTTTCATATTATAAATTGATATTATTAACTGAAATGTACATCATGAGCCATCAAATGGTATATTAGGGAACTGAAGACTTTGAGGAAAACACTCAATAGAAATAAAAGTAGGTTCAATGAGACTGGTTCAGAGAGCGATTGGGTACCTATCGTGAAACCAAAAGACACGTGCTATAAAAGAGGCAAAACGTACCTGTTACAGGAATACTATCTGTAATGCCAATAATATAAACAAAGCTGTATGGAAAATTCAGAAAGATCCAAAAAATGTCACTTTAATGTTTCAATCTTTTGTGCTCAGGAGTTTAACAGACTTTTTCTACTGTTTCTGATATTATTGCCAAGTCGATTGGAATTCAAGGTGTAAATCCCGCCATATTCTTCCACAATTTGCCTAAAATATCATCTTTTTTTGCTTCTGCTATTATTGAGTCAGATGTACGCCAGGCTATTTTGAAATTGAAAAATACTAGCTCTTTAGATTATTATGGAATTAGTAGTCTCATGGTAAAAACCTCGCTTGAGTTTCTTGACCTTTGACTATATTATTCAACAAGTTTTTAAATGAGGCGGTTTGGCCTGACTGTCTTAAAATAACTAAAGTACTTCTTATTCATAAAAAAGGAGATTTTGATAAACTTGACAACTATAGACCAATATCCATTGTTCCTGTAATTTCTAAAATATTTGAAATTTTAATTAAAGAAAAATTGATCTCATATCATGAAATTAACTAAAACTAAAAACAAAACTAAACTATTGACACCATCTCAATTTGGATTTAGGAAAAATCTTTCTACTATCAAAGCCTTATTATCTATATTAGATCAAATAGTTGAGGGATTTGATCAAGGTAATCCAAAACTGATTTTTATTTTATGTACAAGCAGCGACGTACCAATTTTTTCTTTAGAAATATCCAGTAACGTGTTAGTACGGACGCCACTGGCAAAACTAAAAATAATATTTTTCATTGCAAAACGTGCTCTCTCGTTGGTAGTTAACATATACAAAATTTCATTGAATTACTTACCTTTAGCCGTTTGACAACAATTAATAAATTTTATCTTTTTAACACCCCGTATTTCCTTAACGAAGCAATTTTCGAATATAGTTTATATATCAAACTCATATTATTTTTTGAATCTCTATCGGTCCCCGAAGTTTCCGCATCGGAAACTTCTGTGTAAATATGGTGGCAACTGTTTAGTTATGATTTTATGACATAAATACAGAGAGTATAAGCGAACACGATATTTCATATAAAGCCAATTGCCTTCTTTGTTTGTTTGTGTAATATAATATGTTGAAATTTTCTTATTCCATTCTTCCATTCTTATTTCTGGCTCCGTGAATTATCCCGAGACCTCTACTATATACTTCTCCGCGTTTTTTGATCAAGCGACAGCTAGCAAATGCGGGGGAAAGAGCCAACCACTACCGACACTACCGTCCTTCCGTTGTTTTGTACAACCTAAACGTAAAATGAAAGCTAACCTAACGTATAAAATATCAAACCTAACGTAAAATGTGAGCTAACCTAACGTAAAAAATATCAAACCTAACGTAAAAAACTATCAAACCTAACGTAAAATGTGAGCTAATCTAATGTGAAAATAATAAATAACTAAGTTAGCTTTCATTTTGCGTTAGGTTTGATATTATTTACGTTACGTTAGCTTTCAATTCACCCTCACCCTCACCATCACCCTCACTATCACCCTCATCATCACCCTCACCATCACTCACCATCTCCTTCACCATCATTATCACCCTCACCCTGACGCTCACCCTCACCTTCACCCTCACCCTCACCGTCACGATCACACTCACCATCATCCCAACCCTCAATACCACCCTCACCATCACCCTCACCATCGCTCTCACCATCCCATCTCCCTCACCATTACCCTTACCATCACCTTCACCCTCACCCTCACTCTCACTTCACCCTCACCCTCACCCTCACCCCACCATATCACCATCACCCTCACCCCCATCATCGCCCTCACCCTCACCATAACCATCACCTTCACTATCACCTTCACCATCATTCTCTCCATCAGACTCACCCTCACTCTTACCCTCACCATCACCATCACCCTCACAATCATCCTCTCCATCACCCTCGCCATCACCCCTATTTTATATGCATCGCCTAAATGTCTCTATTCAGACCATCGATCAGCTTTTTTCAGCTTCACCATCACCCTATAGAATGAAGAATCCAAAACTGATTTTTATTTTATTTAAAAGTAGCGACGTACCAATTTTTTCTTTAGAAATATCCAGTAACGTGGTAGTACGGACGCCTCTGGCAAAACTAAAAATAATGTTTTTCATTGCAAAACGTACTCTCTCGATGGTAATTAACGTATAACACGCCGTATTTCCTAATCTAAGCATTTTTCCAATATGGTTTATATAATCAAACTCATATTATTTTTTGAATCTCTATCAGTGCCCGAAGTTTCCGCATCGGAAACTCCTGTATAAATATGGAGGCAACTGCTTTCTTCTCTTGTTTGTGTAATATATGGTGAAATTTTCTTATTCCTTTCTTCCATTCTTATTTCTGGCTCCGTAAATTATCTCGAGTCCTCTACTAACATACTGCTCCGCGATTTTTGCACAAGCGACAGCTAGCAAATGCGGGGGAAAGAGCCAATCACTACCGACATCCGTTCTTCCGTTGTTTTGTCCAACCTAAACGTAAAATGAAAGCTAACCTAACGTATAAAATATCAAACCTAACGTTAAATGTGAGCTAACCTCACGCAAAAAAAAGTATCAAACCTAACGTAATATGTGGGCTAACCTAATGTAAAAATAATAAATAATTAGGCTAGCTTTCATATTGCGTTAGGTTTGATATTATTTTCGTTAGGTTAGCTTTCAATTTACGTGAGGTATGATATTATTTACGTTAGGTTAGCTATCAATTTACGTTAGGTTTGATATTATTTACGTTATGTTAGCTTTCAATTCATCCTCACCCTCATACTAATCCTAACCTTCACCATCAATATCACCCTGACCATCACCCTCACCCTCACCATCACTCTCACCCTCACCATCACCATCATCCTCACCATCAATTTCACCCTCACCAACACCTTCACAATCATCCTCTCCGTCACCCTCACCCTCACCATCACCCTCACCTCACCCTCACCATCACCATAACCCCTATTTTATATGCATCGCCCAAATGTTTATTCAGATCATCGACCAGCTTTTTCCAGCATCACCATCACCCTACAGAATGAAGAATATAAAACTAACTTTTATTTTATGTACAAGCAGCGACGTACCATTTTTTTCTTTAGAAATATCCAGTAACGTGCTAGTACGGACGCCACTGGCAAAACTAAAAATAATGTTTTTCATTTGAAAACGTGATCCCTCGATGGTAGTTAAGGTATACAAATGTTCATTGAAATACCTATCTTTAGCCGTTTGACAACAATTAATAAATTTAATTTTTTTTAACACCCCGTATTTCCTTAACGGAGCAATTTTCGAATATAGTTTATATATCAAACTCATATTATTTTTTTAATCTCTATCGGTTCCCGAAGTTTCCGCATCGAAAACTCCTTGTAAATATGAAGGCAACTGTTTAGTTATGATTTTATGATATAAATACAGAGAGTACAAGCGAAAATATAAAGCCAATTGCTTTGTTTGTGATGTTGAAATTTTCTTATTCCATTCTTCCATTCTTATTTCTGGCTCCGTGAATTATCCCGAGACCTCTACTATATACTGCTCCGCGATTTTTGCTCAAGCGACAGCTAGCAAATGCGGGGGAAATAGCCAACCACTACCGACACTACCGTTCTTCCGTTGTTTTGTCCAACGTAAAAAAATATGAAACCTAACGCAAAATGTGAGCTAATCTAATGTAAAAATAATAAATAATTAAGTTAGTTTTCATTTTGCGTTAGGTTTGATATTATTTACGTTAGGTGAGCTATCAATTAACGTTAGGTTTGATATTATTTACGTTACGTTAGCTTTCAATTCAACCTCACCTTCACCCTCACCCTCACCATCACCCTCACTATCACCCTCACCAACACCTTTCACCATCATTATCACCCTCACCCTCACGCTCACCCTCACGCTCACCCTCACCTTCACCCTCACCCTCACCCTCACCATCACCCTCACCATCATCCTAACCCTCAATACCACCCTCACCATCATCCTCACCATCGCTCTCACCATCCCCATGACCATCTCCCTCACCATTACCCTTACCATCGCCTTCACCCTCACTCTCACTTCACCCTCACCCCACCATATCACCATCACCCTCACCCCCATCATCACCCTCACCATCAACCTCACCCTCACCATAACCATCATCTTCACTATCACCTTCACCATCATTCTCTCCATCAGACTCACCCTCACCCTTACCCTCACCATCATCCTCACAATAATCCTCACCATCACCCTCACCATCGTTCTCACCATCCCCATGGCCATCTCCCTCACCATTACCCTTACCATCACCTTCACCCTCACCCTCACTCACACTTTACCCTCAGCCTCACCCTCACCCCACCATATCACTATCACCTTCACCATCATTCTCTCCATCAGACTCACCCTCACCCTTACCCTCACCATCATCCTCACAATAATCCTCACCATCACCCTCACCATCACCTCTATTTTATATGCATCGCCCAAATGTCTATATTCAGACCATCGATCAGCTTTTTCCAGCATCACCATCACCCTATAGAATGAAGAATCCAAAACTGTTTCTTATTTTATGTAAAAGTAGTGACGTACCAATTTTTTCTTTAGAAATATCCAGTAACGTGGTAGTACAGACGCCACTGGCAAAACTAAAAATAATGTTTTTTGTTGCAAAACGTGCTCTCTCGATGGTAATTAACGTATAACACGCCGTTTTTCCTAATCTAAGCCTTTTTCTAATATAGTTTATATAACAAACTCATATTATTTTTTGAATCTCTATCAGTGCCCGAAGTTTCCGCATCGGAAATCTATGTATAAATATGGAGGCAACTGCTTTCTTTGCTTGTTTGTGTAATATATGGTGAAATTTTCTTATTCCATTCTTCCATTCTTATTTCTGGCTCCGNAATCAAACTCATATTATTTTTTGAATCTCTATCAGTGCCCGAAGTTTCCGCATCGGAAATCTATGTATAAATATGGAGGCAACTGCTTTCTTTGCTTGTTTGTGTAATATATGGTGAAATTTTCTTATTCCATTCTTCCATTCTTATTTCTGGCTCCGTAAGATATCTCGAGTTCTCTACTATATACTGCTCCGCGATTTTTGCACAAGCGACAGCTAGCAAATGCGGGGGAAAGAGCCAATCACTACCGACACTACCGTCCTTCCGTTGTTTTGTCCAACCTAAACGTAAAATGAAAACTAACCTAACGTATAAATATCAAACCTAACGTAAAAAATATCAAACCTAACGTAAATTGTGAGCTAACCTAACGTAAAAAAATATCAAACCTAACGTAAAATGTGAGCTAATCTAATGTAAAAATAATAAACAATTAAGTCACCTTTCATTTTGCGTTAGGTTTGATATTATTTACGTTACGTTAGCTTTCAATTCATCCTCACCTTCACCCTCATCATCACCCTCACTATCACCCTCACCATCGCCCCCACCATCTTCACCATCATTATCACCCTCACCCTGACGCTCACCCTCATCCTCACCTTCACCCTCACCGTCACCATCACCCTCACCATCATCCTAACCCTCAATACCACCCTCACCATCACCCTCACCATCGTTCTCACCATCCCCATGGCCATCTCCCTCACCATTACCCTTACCATCACCTTCACCCTCACCCTCACTCACACTTTACCCTCAGCCTCACCCTCACCCCACCATATCACCATCACCCTCACCCCCATCATCACGCTCACCATCAACCTCCCTCACCATAACCATCACTTTCACTATCACCTTCACCATCATTCTCTCCATCAGACTCACCCTCACCATCACCCTCACAATCATTCTCTCCATCACCCTCACCATCACCCCTATTTTATATGCATCGCCCAAATGTCTCAATTCAGACCATCGATTAATCTCTATCGGTTCCCGAAGTTTCCGCATCGAAAACTCCTTGTAAATATGAAGGCAACTGTTTAGTTATGATTTTATGATATAAATACAGAGAGTACAAGCGAAAATATAAAGCCAATTGCTTTGTTTGTGATGTTGAAATTTTCTTATTCCATTCTTCCATTCTTATTTCTGGCTCCGTGAATTATCCCGAGACCTCTACTATATACTGCTCCGCGATTTTTGCTCAAGCGACAGCTAGCAAATGCGGGGGCAAGAGCCAACCACTACCGACACTACCGTTCTTCTGTTGTTTTGTCGAACCTAAACGTAAAATGAATGCTAACCTAACGTATAAAATATCAAACCTAACGTAAAATGTGAGCTAACCTAACGTAAAAGATATGAAACCTAACATCAGCTATCAAACCTAACGTAAAATGTGAGCTAACCTAATGTAAAAATAGTAAATAATTAGGTTAGCTTTCATTTTGTGTTAGGTTTGATATTATAAATTGATATTATAAATTGAAATGTACATCAACAGACATCAAACGGTATAACAGGGAACTGATGACTTTGAGGAAAACACTCAAAAGAAATAAAAGTAGGTTCAATGAGACTGGTTCAGAGAGCGATTGGGTACCTATCGTGAAACCAAAAGATTATATACACGTGCTATAAAAGAGGTAAAACGTACCTGTTACAGCAATACTATCTGTAATGCCAATAATATAAACAAAGCTGGATGGAAAATTGTGAATTCAGAAAGATGTCACTTTAATGTTTCAATTTTTTGTGCTCAGGAGTTTAACAGATTTTTTGCTACTGTTTCTGATATTATTGCTAAGTCGATTGGAAATCAAGGCGAAAATCCCGCCATATTCCTCCACAATTTGCCTAAAATATCATATTTTTTTGCTTATGCTATTATTGAGTCAAATGTACGCCAGGCTATTTTGAAATTGAAAAATACCAGCACTTTAGATTATTATGGAATTAGTAGTCTCATGGTAAAAACCTCTCTTGAGTTTCTTGTTGCACCTTTGACTATATTATTCAACAAGTTTTTAAATGAGGCAGTTTGGCCTGACTGTCTTAAAATAACTAAAGTACTTCTTATTCATAAAAAAGGAGATATTGATAAACTTGACAACTATAGACCAATATCCATTGTTCCTGTAATTTCTAAAATATTTGAAATTTTAATTAAAGAAAAAGTTATAGGAATCCATATATTTCTCCAGTTTACGGTAATTTACCGAGCTACCTACAGCAAAAAAAAGGGTTAATTACTAATTACCTAACTACCAAATACTTACCATCATATAAATCTTCTTATTTAATAGTCCCATTATGGTATTTTCTTTTCCTATTCTTCAGGTATTGAGTGTCACATATATCTACTATCTGTATTTGTATTTCTGGTTGCCGAGATCATCAATCCTTTATTCCGGAAATGTTACCCCCACCAAATAAAAGTACTTCCGTGGTACTAGAACCTTCGAGTTCTCAGAAAATCGAGCGTGGAGTTGATTTTTAGTAGGCGATGGGATAAGGTGTGCGGGTTATTAACTACCAATTTTCCTACATTTGGAGATCTGAAATTGCACACGAAAAATCCACGCCATTCACTCCTCGATGTCTACCGATAGTATTCCAAGAAATTGAACTCGGCCTCTTCAAGATATCCGATTATATAACTAACACCTGCAGCCCAAGCTCCAATTTTTTTTGTACATACTTTTTCTTCTTCGTCTTACAAATCTCTTTTAAAAGGTGAGTTTAAATTTTGTTTATCATCTTCCCAAAGAAAAAATAGTTAGGGATGGGGTTTAATTTTTTTTTCTCCATATTTTTAGAGATTTACGGACAAGCTAAAATTTACGGACAAGCTAAAATTTAAGGATGGGCCAGAATTAAGGAGAATATGGTATTTTAATTTAAATTCTAAGTGGAAAACGTCTTCCGTGCGGTTTCTCCAGTTCCCGAGTCCAAATTTGGGCGCAGATATACCGCTCCACCCAATTTAGGACCTGACGTCGCCATTTTCCTCCATCCACAGGACTCGACCATTTCATCGAGAAGCCGCCAGGACAGATAAGAACTTTTTTTATACTCTCTATCCTTTTATGAATTGGTTAAAGTAAGACAGAAATACATATTACCTACATAAATTTTTATATAAGCGTTATAATATTTTTTTTTGATGAAACATACTGAATGCACGCATTTATAAATATCTATATATAATATGTTTATTTAAAATATGATATTGTTACGCTAAAGCATAGTACTATGAATAAGCGAGATTTGGAGTAACTCCAATAAAATAAACGTGTTCTTTATCCTTATTACATATTGTTTCTCAAATTAATAATCGCTTCGAATATTAAATCACTTTATAACCCAATCATTCTTTTGTAGGTATTATATATCTGATTTCACTAATTCGAATTATTTCTTTATAAAATGTTCTTATATTTGTCTGAAGCGAATAACCATTAGTCTGGGATTTAGAATAAATATTTTTGTTCTTTTTAATTATCTCACTTATTTTCACTCACCTTGTATATGTGACTAATAAATATAAGATCCTCAGTAAAACCACTTATCTAACCCATATGCGACACTCCTTTGATAAGGCACAGATGCCGCCGTTGACCTTGTCCATTTAAACTGGATGCTAAACGTTGCCAGATTGGACAATAAAAATTGATATCTGAAGAAAGTGTTGCCAATTCGAAATATTGAATGAACATGAACATAAAATGCTTACACCTACATTTATCACAATTTTCACTTAATTGATAAAGTGTCTGTCTAACCGGGATGATAAATTAGATAACTAATATATTAAAATAAAATTGCTAAGTGTTCATTAATTTTTTGTTGAAATAAAATACCTAATAACAAATTATACACATGTTTAATTTTACATTTTTTATATTAGGAGTTTTACTAACATTTTTATTAATAGATTTTATGTGGTAGTAAATTCGCAGAATTACAAGTTACTTTATTAAATAGTCCAAAGAAAAATTTGGACAGGGATGTTGAACTGGAGGTACATCTTTACAAAAATTATAAATGGTGTTTCCTGGGTAGTTACAAATACAATTAGCAATCAAATTTGTTATCTAACTGAATAATGAATATAGAAAATATGTCATTTTAACTTCCAAAAGGTATTACACTAGTTATGTAAATTTGAAATCGTTTTATCCATGCATTATTAATTCTGGGTGTCCACATTTTTCTATCGACATCTAAAAGAACAATTTATATTATAAAAATTTAATATTTAAACAATTTTTATAAGCAATTTAAGATTACCTATATAAAAAGTAATAATCATACAATTGTTCTTCTTTAGGAAACCGAAAAAATGTATATTTTTATTTTCTTTCTTGCATTTCCGATACTGATTTAGACATTCTTTGTAACTGCAAATAATTGTTAATAAAAACGCCAAAGTTTTAAAAATAAATAACTATAAATCCACTGTAAACCACTTTTTAAAACACTTCAATACAGCTAACGGCAACAATGTTTACAAAATGCCCAAAATGGCTATTATATGATTTATACGTAACGTCACTAACATAAACCACACGGAGATAAAACATGTACGGAAGTATTCGGGCTTCATCGGTAATGTATTTAATTC